GAGAACAAGACAGTTCCATCTTTTTGGCATGAGAGATGATCACATGATACGATGATATTTCTGGTACGTCGACACGAGGCCTTATCTGTACAGACAACAGCACCGGACATTGTAGAATAACGTATAAATAGTCAAAAAAGTGGTTATATTGACGACTTGAAACTATGACGAAGGTAGCGAAAGGTCGCAAGATTGAGAAGCGTCGAAATACAAACAGTGTGAGAAACTCTGCGAACGATGCAAGTTAGCTGACCGATTGCAGTCACTCTACGAATATCATATCTAAAACTGATGCAAGAACAGGAGAGGGTTTAACCTGCACACAGCCCATGCTAGAATTCATATCTGGAATAAGTCGACCATACTGTTTTATAAGAACATCTCGTCGAGTGCATGTAGATATATATGTGTGTTCGCGGAAGAGTGAGACATGCAATCAGCCAATGCCAGTTGGATTGCAGATCTGTTTCATATAAACTGTTGATTGGCTATTCACAGGCTTTCAACTGTTGGCAATCTTTCCCCAGCTCCAAGTTTCATTGATATCCTCATCATTTCAACTGTTGTTATCGGCCCTCCCGCAATATCGATCTGAGATATGGAGAATACAGGAGAACAAAGACTAGCTTTGAGCCAAAACTGTCAAGAAACCTCCATTGGGCAGTCTGGTTTAAAGCTTACAATATACTATGTTTAATTGACTTGCCTAATACCCACCAGCAGGGGAGGAGACCTCGGAGTCTGACACGGCATCGTCTCAGTTGCTGTCTCTCCTAGAGCATATTACGGGGCTCATAGACCCATTGATCGTGCGGGGTCCCGACCTGCGAGTTCGCGCTAAAGAAATAAATAGTTCAATCCCATAGACGATTGGGGCATTGCGCCGAAGTCCCTCGCACAGCGACGGCTATTGAAGGTGTTCGGAGAGCCCGTCTTCGACGATCCCCATAGTGGTTCTGTCTCCCCGCACGTCAAGTGAAACCTGGAAGATCGTAACTCAACTCAACTACCCCAGACCCCTGTGGATATTGATAATTAATTATCGAGACTGGCCCGTCAGATTGACCCGGTTAACGGATATTTGCGGCACAATGCTTCGTACATCTATTCTGACCATGTATCTGGGAAGTACTCCGTACAAGTGGACCTTCCTGTTCTATCTAGTTATTATGTACATACTTAGTCAGCCCGTGCAAGTTTCCTCTTTGAGCATTCATAAGTTCATAGCTGAGTCATTTCCGGAGTTGTCGGTTTTCCCCCGAAGCTAGATGAAGACCCAGTCTTGATAGTGGAGCCGGGTGGTGGCGCTTTTAGCTGTCGGTGAATGCCAGATGCGAATGAAGAAGAAGAGGATCTACAGTTTGATGGAGTGTACCGAGTAGCTGGATAGGACTGAGACAGGATTGAATTATCCAGGTTGAAGAGGCTCATCTGTCTCCCTGTTTTTATGCTGGACTGGCAGGACGACTGCCGGATCACATGACCGGCAGGAGGATTTAAGAATCGACACCGGTATGCGCTAATCCCGAACAGGAAAGGTCACGCGATCGGCGGTTGCAGTGAACGTTCTCTGGCTCTCTCTCCTCTTTCTCCATCTATCTATTGGCTTGATCAGCTTCTCTCTCTCCCCTATTATTTGCTGCATAACGATCTCAGATGATAACTGAGCGGATGTCGCCTTTCTCACCCGCTTCCTGTGTTGGAAACCCCACGCCGGCCGGCCAAGGCTGAACCGACGGCCGATGTCACCGTCGATCGGCTCGGGTTTATAGTACATAAATGCAGTAGGATACTCGACAGAATCAATGGCATACTTTCTGATGCAGAGTCAACATGGTCGACCTAGTTTCAACGTTTTCTCGCTAGATCATGCCGGGAATGAGAGTGGCAGCATGTGCCGGTCAACGCCTCGCCGGAATCGGTGGGCCAAAAGTCTTCCCTCAACCTTCAAGGCCTTCTTCCCCAGGTCCACCATGGATCTCGTTCTCAAAAGTGGATGATGACAGTCCAGTAGGTGAAGTTTCTGTTACGTTGCCGATTCGTGATTCGTTCAGGTCGGTCCGACTCGGGACCCATTCGGCCCACCCGGTGGCGCCAGGCACCTCCTCGGTCCCGGCTCGTAGATAGATGAAGGCAAATTGAGTCAGAGTGGGTGAACTACTTCTGCAAATGCTCCCCACGTTGGCCGCTCAATTTTCTCCTGCTGTCATGCTTGTTCTCTTGTTGTGATTTTGTGCCTTTGAGATTCTGCTCATATTCGAAGGCATTGGGGCACTTGAAAGTGTTCTACGGAAACACTTGTGGCCTCCTACATCGCCTCCTTTCAACTTTCTCTTTTTATTCTTTTTATTTTTTTTTTTATTTTAAACACTGCAGACTTGCTACGGTGTGACCTACAGCTATGAGTCCTCCTCAAATTGTGTCAGCCCCTCCGAGGGGGCTTGACTTGGAGAACCCTCAAACGGTAGATTTCGTCGAACAGCGTTCTCTCTACATGGATGAGAAGAAGATCGACGAGAGACCTCCGTCCATGCAAGACGCATTTGGTGACGAAGAACATGCGGAGATCAAATACAAGACTTTGAAGTGGTGGTACGTATCGACTCCATGAAATACGAAAGGGAATAACTGCTGATGCTCGTCTTGTTCTTTCACAGGCAATGTGGCTTGCTGATGGTGGCCGAAACGGTCTCCCTCGGTGTCCTGTCGTTGCCCGCCGCGGTCGCCGGGCTGGGTCTGGTTCCGTACGTCGATCCTTCGCGACGCGCAAGTGACCATTGTGCTAACCATCAGATAGTGCGGTCATCATCTTAGTCTGCCTGGGACTTCTGGCAACGTATACGGGATACATCATCGGACAATTCAAATGGGCATACCCGCAGATCTCCAACATGGCCGATGCAGGGGAGGTGCTCGCGGGGCGATTTGGCCGCGAACTGCTCGGCGCGGCCCAGATCATCTTCATGGTGTTCGTCATGGCCAGCCACCTGCTGACGTTCACTATCGCCATGAACGCGATCACCGACCACGGCACTTGCTCAATCGTCTTCGGCGTCATCGGCATGGTCGTCTCGTTCGCCCTGTCTCTCCCGCGCACGCTCGCCGAGATGTCCTGGCTGTCGCTCGTCTCATTCATCAGCATCCTGACCGCAGTGGTCATCACCATGATTGGTGTCGGTATCTCCCACCCCGGCAAGGAAGTCCTCGCCGTCGTCGACACAGACCTCGTCCACGGATTCGCAGCCGTCTGCAACATCGTCTTCTCCTTCTGCGGCCACGCCGCCTTCTTCGGCCTCGCCGCCGAGCTCAAAGACCCGCGCGACTTCCCCAAAGCCCTCTGCCTGCTCCAGGGCATCGACATCTCGCTGTACCTGATCGCCGCGGTCGTCATCTACCGCTTCGGCGGCGCAGACGTGGCCTCGCCGGCCCTGGGATCCGCCAGCCCCATCGTCTCCAAGGTCGCGTTCGGCATCGCCCTCCCGACCATCATCATCGCGGGCGTCATCTACGGCCACATCGCCTCCAAGTACGTCTACACGCGCGTCTTCCGCGGCACGGACCGCATCCACAAGCGCGACTGGGTCGCCGCCGGCTCGTGGGCAGGAATCGCTCTCGGCCTTTGGATCATCGCCTGGATCATCGCTGAGGCGATTCCCGTCTTCAGCACCCTCCTCAGTCTTATCACCGCGCTGTTCGCCAGTTGGTTCACCTTTGGCCTCAGCGGCATCTTCTGGCTGTTCTTGAACTGGGGGAAGCTGTTTTCGTCGCCTAAGAAGATCTTCTTGATGATTGTGAATATCGGCAATATTGTAATCGGGATTTGTCTGGTATGTTATCTCTCTTCCTTCATCCTTCGGTTGATAGACAAAGGGGTTGTGGCAGATAGCTAATGAAAATGACAGTGCGTCCTCGGACTCTACGCTTCAGGAACAGCCATCCACGACGACCCCGGCAGCTCGAGTTTCTCGTGCGCGAATAATGCTTAAATGGTTTTTGTCTTGTATATATTTGTTCATACCTTTGTCAATGGCGTTTCCGGGTTTTTTTCTCTCTCTCTTTCTTTCCTTTTCTTTAGACTAGAGCTGTTAAGCTAGCGGCTGGCTGCATTTACATCTGCATTTGCACTTGCATTTGGAACATAGTCTGTTACGGATGACGACGATATTAGCTGCATATAATGAGATACCTACCATATATTTACACTATCCATTTTACGTTTTCACCTTTTGGGAGTCCTTGCCTTATATCTCCGTCCTTCTCTTCCGTTTCTTCATAGAGATCTCACGCCAATATTGACCTACATACAATACTTCGCTATGATCGCACCATGAAGCCGAAGCATCTATCAGCGTCAGTTTACCAGGTATTTACTAACCTAGTTATGTCGCGAAGTACAGAATAAAGCTTAACTGTATTACGCGAGCCATCAACAGCGCAGCCAGTCTGCATTCTATCTACCGACCACCTGTGTATTATCAAGATTGGTATATAAGTATCCACATATAGGTCGGTAGGTTGGTTCTGCTTTACTCGGTGTAGAGGCTTGCATCTATAGATTGACGGAGCGTGGATCGATGTATATACCTTGACTTATTCCAAGTCTGTTGTAAAAATTTGAACCGGCGACGCTGGACTTGACTTGTGTAATTGATTAATTGTCCTAAAGGATTCCAAAGAGTAAGTAAGTCGAACAGAATGCTCGTTGATTGATTGCCAAGTGGATAATGGTGATGACACCCTTAATGATATACAATGGAGAATGGAAGAATGAAGGAAGAAAGTAGTCAGAGAATAAGATAAGAAAGTAAGAAAGTAGCAATCCATTCCGCCATCCCAGTAACAAAACAAACACCCATACCGTTTCGCTCCTTCTATCCCAAACCGAGGATGATGATAATAATATCAATAAAATGAGAAGAAAGAAGATGAAAAGAAAAAGAAAAGAAGAAGACAAGTTAAAGAGTAAGAGGAAGAATAGATAGAAGAAGAAAAAAAGAAAATCACCCCCGATTAGCCCTCTTCCTTCGCCGCCTTTCCCGTCGACAAGAGTCGATTGCTTCCGGCGTGAGGATCTCCGCTGGTAATTCAAACTCCCCCATCTCCATCTCTGGGAGGGGCTGGCCGAAGGCGAGTCGCGTTCGTCGTCCGCCTGTGCGGTGTAGTGAGAGGGCTGCCTCGCGGAGGTGTGGCTTGCTGAAGAAGGAGGTGAAGGGGCGGTTGGGGTCTGGTGGGGGGCTTGAAGGTGGTGGGGGTGGGGGCGGTGGTTGTGCTTTGGGGGTTTCTTTTCGAGGCTGGGAGGAGGAAGAGACTGGGACAGGGGAGGTTTTCCTGCGGGATGACTTGGGGGCTCGTCCGCGCGAAGACGCCGGCGCTGTCGTCGCGGAGCGGGCTGCTTCTTGGTGGAGTTGGCGGGCGGCGCAGGCGTCGACGTCGTTGGGATCCAGCGGTTCGGTGTAGCTAGGGGCATCGGACACGGTGGGCGTCGGAGCTACCTTGTCGTTGCCATGGTCGTTGTCTAGATCGTCGGACGCGCCGCCCTTCGGCGAGGACTGCGGAATGGCGTCCGCGTCGGCGTGGTTGGCGGCAGTCCTTGGTTTCTGCTCGCGCTCCAGCTTGCGACGCTTTTCTTCTTGCTTCCAGATCTTGAACTTCTGGATGAGGGCCGATAGCTCGCTCACGAAGAGGTCGCGCTTGGACTCGTAGTGTCTCTTCTCGGCGTCGGTCACGTGGCCCGTGATGCCCATGACACGCAGCCACTCGTGGCTGCGCAGCTCGTCCAGCAGCCGATCCAGCTGTTGCTTTTCATGCTGGGCTCGCTCGCGCTCGATGTTACGGAGCTGTTTCTCTTGGCGTTCGTGACGACGGTGGGCGCGGAAGTAGACAGCGTCGTCGAGGGGGTCTTCTGGCTCTTCATTCCCAGTGTTTGTTTGTTCCGTGGGCTCCAGGGCTGCTTCCTTGGAGGGTTCCTTGGTCTGCTCCTCCGGACTCAATGCCAGTGTGATTGTTTCGCACTCGTGTAACTCCGCCAAGGGATTCCCGAACGGCAGTGCGTCCGCGGATTCGTCGGACAGGATCGGAGGCTCCGAGAGGTCATCGATCACTTTGATGGAAGTGTGGGGGTTGAGAAGATCTAGTTCCGACCGTTAGAATGTTGTAAAGTAACCTGAAGGGCAGAGTTGAGGTGTTATACCCGTCTTCGGAGTCTCGAAGCTGAGCAGCTGTTCGTAGTTGGGAAAGTATAAGGCAAGCTCGCTCCGGGGCCGGGCACCCCCATCATGGGAGCGGAGGCTACGACGCTGTTCAGGCACGGCGGACTTGGCGGAGAGATCCTTGGAGGGGGTTGTAGACGGCGTCGCTGCAGAAGGAGAGGCGGTGGTGGGGTGAGACTCTGCGGGCTCTGGTTGAGGACGGGCGGAGGACGTCGGGGTGGATGTGGACGCAGGGGCGGGAGACGGCGCATTCGCGGGAGGGTCGGTGTGAAGCGGATCGGGCGATTCGCTCCCCCCGTCGAGATGTAGGGGCGGTATAGAAGAGGTATGGTTCTGCTGTGGTTTTTGGTGAAAATATCGCCGTAATGTTTGTTGCTTGACGATCTTGGCTGGGGAGGGGCGCGACGAGGGGGTCAGGGGATGGTCGATGGTTGCGTCCAGGTGGTCGGACGAACTCCTCCGTCCACGCGGAGGATGCAATCGCGGTCGCTTAGAGGGAGGCGGACGAGCATCTCCATTCTCATCCAGCGAGACAGTCTGTCGAGGTTGAGTCTGGACAGGCTGAGGATCTCGTCGCTCCGAGACGCGCAATGACGACCTCGAGCGGACGGCCATGACGGCAATGGTGGTCATGGATTAAAATTTAGGAGGACATGGCTGGGGGATAGGAGCAATAGATTGGATAGGATGAAATCATGTCAATTGTTGTATAGCTATTCATTCATGGGACGAGATTGATTCTCTTCATTGTCGTCGTCGTCAATAAGGGAGGAGAGGATTTTGGAGGCGGAGGTGCCTCGTTGTGTAATTTACAGTATTCCGGGGTATTTTACGGGGGAAAGGGGGGAGTTGGGTGTATGGTATGGTCATCTCCATCTTTCTTCTTATTCTTTATTGTCTCAACTCTTGATCTTGAATAACTTCACTTCAGTACCCATTGAATGGCTCCCTGGTATTCTACCTGGAATGTCTACCGTTTTGAATATGATATGGTAGTTACCCTTCTATCCCCTTATGGCCTGGATCAACTATCAAGGCGGATAGAACTCCAATGACCCCAATATAACCATCAATCCAATCCAGCTTCAACCCTCACTTCGACTTCAACTTCGGCTTCACTCTGGCCAGATGGACCATCTAATATTCTGCCTATTATTGGCCTTCCCAATCCAGCAGAACGTGGGGGTTCAGAAATGTCCATCGGAGCAACTCCTCACACTGTGGGGTACGTGGGGGTAAAACAAATCGTGGGCTATCATAGGCAGGTCAAACAGCTTTAACTGGACTATTCATATCAACCCATGAATCCATTGATATCCATGGAATAGGACTCTGTCTCCAGTCGGGCTCCGCATTTCCCTCCGGTCCTTCACAGGGGATCCTGTTGCTGATTTAAACCCCGGTTTCCCCTCAATTGTCGACGCTACTACGTTCATTCTCCCCTCATCTACTCAACCCATATACACTCCATTCTATACTCCCTTGTAACCCAGCTTTCGAGATGTCTTCCCCTACTCGACGTCTCATTCGTGGCATCTACGTCCCCACCGTCGCCTTCTTTGACGGTCCAGATGAGGATGTGGACATCCCCACCACCGAGAAGCACGCCGCCTACCTCGCCCAGTCAGGCGTCGCGGGGTTAGTCGTGCAAGGCAGCAACGGCGAGGCCGTGCATCTAGATCGCGAGGAGCGCAACGCCATCACAGCAGCCACGCGCCGCGCCCTCGACGCTCATAATCCCACGATGCCACTGATCGTCGGCACGGGCGCCGCCTCGACGCGCGAGACCATCCGCCTGTGCAAGGACGCCGCCGAGGCCGGCGGCGACTACACGCTGGTGCTGCCCCCCAGCTACTACAAGGGGCTGGTCTCGACGGAGGCAATGCTCGACCACTTCCGGGCGGTCGCCGACGCCTCGCCCATCCCGCTGCTCATCTACAACTTCCCGGGGGCATCGTCGGGGCTGGACCTCAGCTCGGACGACATCCTCGCGCTGGCGCAGCACCCCAACATCGTGGGCGTCAAGTTGACCTGCGGCAACACGGGCAAGCTGGCGCGCATCGCCGCTCAGGCACCTCAGGATTTCTTGACGTTCGGCGGGTCCGCCGACTTCACGCTGCCGGCGCTCATCGTGGGCGGCGCGGGCATCATCGGCGGCATCGCCAACCTCATCCCGCGGTCGTGCGTGCAGGTCATGGCACTGCACCTGAAAGGAGAGGTATTCGAGTCGCAGCGGGCGCAGGCGGTGGTGGCCCGCGCCGACTGGCTGGCCATTAAGGGAGGGTTCGTGGCGGTTAAAAGTGCGCTGCAGAGCTATCGGGGATATGGAGCGCAGCCGCGACGACCGTGTGTACCATTGCCATCTACGGAGGCGGAAGCCTTGGAGGGAGCATTTAAAGAAGCGATGGATCTGGAGAGCAGCTTGGTATAGTTCATTATTGAGGGTGTGCTGTCTGACTTGGCGGTTGATGTTTTACCATCGAGAAGGGGAACGCAGGGAGGGATGCTGACTCACTGCGCGGTTTTCGCGTGGTTTAGTTATACATAAAGATTCCATTATTCCATTTTCTCTCTTCATTCCATTTCATTGTATTCTTTCTTCTTCTTTCATCAAATAAGTGTAAATATTTTAAAATGAATCGCCTTAAACCCAACCCCCACACTCTCTGCACTTACAACCTGCGACCAACCCCAAGACCTACTACACCACATCTCTGGAAAACCCCATACATACCTCTGAACACTATCAAACCCAAATGCACCACTCAGCCAAACAAACCCCAACCGCCACCAGCAACAACCCTCACCTTCTGGACCTGCCGCCACACATGGTCTCGCTCAGCGATCAACACCCTCCGGTGTCTCATCGGCTGCACCACAGGCGACTTCACCGCCCTGTGGACCCTTCAAGCGTACGCCCCAGACTGGGGAATGCCTCTAATGATGGGCGTATCCAGTACGCCTTCCCCTCCTCTCTTCGCCCAAACCAACATACTAACAAGGACGGTTGTGATGAAAAAAAGTGACGACAGGCCTCCTCACCTCCCTAACCCTAGAAACCGTGCTTCTAGCCTACGGCAAAGACGCCCTGCCCCTCCGCCACGCGGTCCGCACCGCAGCGGGGATGAGCCTCGTGTCCATGCTGGCTATGGAGAGCGTGCAGAATGCCGTCGATTGGCATTTGACCGGGGGTGTCGTTGATGTGGCGGATTGGGCGTTTTGGGGCAAGGCGGCGGTTAGTATGGCGGCTGGGTTTGCGGCGCCTTTGCCGTGGAATTATTGGAGGTTGAAGGCTTTGGGGGTGGGGTGTCATTGATCTTTCTTTTTTGTTTCTTTTTTTTTGGGGGGGGGGTGTTGTGAGGTTGGTTTGTTGGGTTGGGATGTTTGTATATAAGTTACTGGTGTAGGATGTATAGTCCAAATGTGTATCTATGTAAGTACCATTGAAATCAATACATACAATCTATATATTTTTTATATATAAATCAATATATAGACTATACCATCCCCTTCGTATAAACCCCCGGCACCCCACCATCATCATCATCACCATCATCACTCCCCCCGGAATAACCCCCCCCAAAGAACTCCCTCACCCCAACCCCTGCCTCCTCCCTCCAAGCCCGCATATCCACCTTCGTCTCCAGACTCTTCACCGACACCTCCCACAGCCGCTTCGAGTCCCGACATTGGTGGGTGGCGCCCACCCCGTCGATGTGATAGATGGGTTTGCCGTATTTGTTGGTGGTCTTTTTGGGAGTTTCGATGGTGTCGTCTGCGGCGCAGATTATTGCCTTCATTTTTACACTGTCAGCATTGTGGGATAGTCTCAAGATGGGAAGAAGGAAAGTAGTAGAGAAGAAAGCAAAAAAGGAAATAATAAAGAAACGGGAAAGAAAGATACCTGCGCTATATAATCAAAACAATGCGCCCAATGCCACCTATCCTGGCCATGATCGCCCGAATGCGCCTTGGACGTTGAATTGTGCTGCTTGTGCGACGTCTCGGGGAAGATGACTCCGCGGAGGGCGATCAGGCAGTGGAGTTGGTGGAACATGGAGATGCCGTAGGAGATGATCATATCCTCATCTTTGTTAACCTCTTTGTCTGATCCCGGGGGATGCAGGGCGAGGATGCCCCCTCCGCTGGGGGGCATGAGTATCTCTTCCCATGTTTTGTGAGATTCGTGGGTGTTGGTTGCAGGGTCGTGGAAGAAGAGCGCGTCGTTTTCGGTGAAGATTCGACTGTGTTTTCTGTCGGGGTGGGACCAGGTTGAGACTGAGGAGGATGGGGTGAGGTAGTATGCTGGGGGGATGAGAGGAAAGAGGTGGTTGAAGGGGGAGACGAGGATGAGGGTTAGGAGGAGGACGAGGATGGCGGAGAAGATGAGGCAGAGGATGAGTTGGGGGGATGCTGTGGGTTGTGAGGGTCGTCCCATGCTGTACTCTGTACACTGCTGCAGTAGACTGCTGCACAGCAGCCGTTGGCGTGAGTTGAAAAAGAAGAATATGCAACTTTTGCAAGTTATTGTTTGATTGATCGGGCGCGTTAGAAGGCATATATTGTCTTGATCTAGTTAGGGCTATTGATTCCCGATCCGGGTATCAAAGAACTGTCCAGACCGGTATCCACTCACCCTCAACCACTCATCCCGATATATGTCAATAGGGAAGAAGAAAGAATAAGGGCTAAATCATAAGCCTCTTTGGCATCATGGCCCAGAACACTCCCATCCCAATCACGAGCCCCATTATAATCGGGGGCAACACCTGCACCCCCACCTGCGACGCAATGGCCCCCGTCAAGAATGGAAATGCTGCCGATCCGGCCGAGCCCAGACTGGCGCAGAACCCTATATTATGAGTATTTAAACGAACAAAGAGAGTAAGAGTGGATTGACTTACCGAGTGCACCGATGTGAAGGTCCGGTGGAATCACCTCGGTCAGAACGTATAACCCGACGGGGTAGAATGGGCCGATGATGAATCCTATTATAGTCAGTTCTCTCTCTCTCTCTCTCTTTGATGGGGATAAAATATGGGTTTATCCGGAAAACCCACCGAAAAGACATATCGTAATCGCATTAGCCAAGATATTCGGCACCAGCCAAAACAAAATTTGCATCACCAGCGCCAACACAATATACAAAAACACCATGCGACGCTCTCCCAGCTGGTGTGTGATATCAGCCAGCACCACCCGACCAGCCGTAAAGCCAGCCCAGTACACCGATGCGATGTAGCCCACCTGTTTGGGGTCTCCGTGGCGGACGGAGATGAGGAACTGCGAGAGCCAGCCTACTATCGTCAGTAGCTGTCACATAGTGATGATGGTAGAGAGTAGGAGTATGTGCCCACCACCAGAAGTAACCTCCGCCCCAACATAAAGAAAGAAAAACCCGTTCATGATCCACACAGCCTTATTAGACACCGTCTCTCTCAGCTGACCCCCCGCCAACTCCTTCGCATTCGCCACATTCGGCTGGAACAGACCCCGCCGGAACGTCCACGCCAGTAGCGAAACATTGGTAACCCCCAGCACAAGCGTCACCAGGTAATACACATTCCAAGCAGGCGTGCGCGCCGCAATAGTGTTCGCCACCAGCGGCGCAAGGATAGTGCCTACCCCGTACACAGCATGCAAGATGCCCAGCCACCGGTGGCAGTTTTGCACTGTGATGGTGAACGAGTTCGCCTGCGCGTCTTGCAGGGATACCCCAATCCCCGTGAAGAAGAAGGCCGATAGGAAGATGGGAAATGGAGGCTTCCAGAACATGAGCGCGTACCCGATGCATTGCACGGATGCGCCGAGCACCATCGTGCCTCCTGTGCCTGCCCGCGCGCAGATGTGGATGTTGGCGAAGGAGCCGAAGAGCCAGCCGGCGAAGTTGATGAGGTAGATGAAGGAGACTTGGAGGAGGGTGATGCCGTAGGAGGGTTGGAGGTAGGGGATGAGGACCCCGACGGCGGCGTCTGGTCAATCGAATTAGCCACCGTAAATCGATGGACCATATTGAATAGCTACGTTGGACAGGATGATGAAGCTAACCGTTCATTCCTGCAACCATGACTGCAAAGTTCGTGCTGATGAGTTTGCCCTTGACTTTCCCCGCAGACTTCTGGTCGGGGCGCCCTCCATCTCTGTCGGTGGGTGTGTATTCTGCATGTTGGGCTGTGCTTCCTGGGTTTGCCTCCGCGTCCATTTTACGATGCAATTATGGAAGTGAAGTCTACGAAAGACACGGCTGATGGCTCCGGGGTAGTCGTCTTATACCCTTGTTTGCTTATCAAGATGGCTATGGCGGCAAGGAGCTATAATCATGCAGCTGGGAGGGGTAGATCAGCGGTCCATGCGAGACATCGGAGGGTAAAGCGGAATTGAGCCCGTTGGAGATAGTGTAGTTCTGTAGGGTTTTTATCGGGCAAGAAATCCGTTTATCTTGTAGATTTACAATCTATACGGTACACATGATTGATGGAGAATTGATCGAGTGGATTGAAGATGGAGCACGGGAAAGTCCCAGGATAGATTAGCTAGGCTAGCTAGCTTGTCATTCGATGATATTAAGCAATTGGTGAATTTCCATTGATCTATCAAACAAAATATAGATCTGGTATTCTGGTATTGCCGAGTCCATTCATCTGCCGCATGAATGAACGTTGCTTGTTGACAAGATGACCATCTTGTGCGACGATCACGACGCGGGGAATTCCCACTTGCTATCTTGGCGTCCTCTCATTCTGCCGCCTCTCAGTGGACAAGCCGTTGTGACTGATTGTGCCGCTCCTATTACCAGGCTGCTTCTAGTCAAAAGTGGTGGTGTATGCTACGTTCTATCAGGGTAGCATGAGCGCTGATGGGCCACAGGTAGAGACGAAGCTTCTTGAGTGAACATGTCGCCATGCGTAAGCGGGGTCGCATGCTAGACTATTCCAATAATATTAGCATGGATACCACCCAAGCGGATGCACGAAATATAACAGGGATGATGGCATGATTCAGAGAGAAGATTAAAGTCGTCATAGCCTTACACATCAAGAGAAGGATGGTATGGCGCTCCGACTAAGGATGACTATATGTTCTCATCATGGAATGGATAGATGGTGATGGCAAGTGGTGGCAACGAACTGCTTCTACTTACCGCGTGTTTGTTTGGACTTGAGGTGCCCTGTTGGGGGTTGTCAGAAAACTGGAAGATGGATATCCTTCGTTTCAGTCGTTCCGACGATCAATCATCATACGAAATGATTCTGCGACCGGTATATCGCGGGTTATGGCCCGCCGGGAGTCCTCTCTTGACGCCGGTAGGGGCAATAGGCTGCTCGTCATAATCTAACGCGGTGTCTGTAGTAGCCTGAGGTCGATTATTCGCAGCGACCTCACTGACAGCAACACTAGCTGGTTTCCCCTCTGCAGCACTGTGAGCCGGTTCGTGCAGATCAGCGACCTCTCCCTCGTCCTCCGATCGGTTCTCCTCCCTCAGCTGTCTTTCCCGCAGCAGCGCATGAATTTCACTGTGTCTGAAGATTTCGATCTGCTCGTCGGTGAGAGTGCGTTTCACCCCATCGGGGTAGTAGCCCAGATCTTCCTCATCATCATTATAGGTAGATTCGTCGACCACGGCGGGTTCTAGGGGGGTGAATGCAGCGGGTGGTTCGCTACCGGGAAAGTGTTTGGCTTGGAAGGATTGGAGGTCTGTCTAGGAAGGGAATTAGTTGGGTCGTATGGAATTGTGGGATTGACTCAACTCACAAGGGTTACTGATGGGATTTGCCGATCTGACATGATGATCTGACCGGCTTGACCTCGCCAGATGTTGGGGTTCGAGCAGATCTGACCAGACGCGACTGAGCGCGACGGGCTGTGATGTTACTAGTGTATTTTACTGACGGATTGACAGTCCCATGACCTGATTAATACTGTACTCTACATCCACGCATATTGCATGGCAGTTAGTCCTCGAGAAAAGCAGGACAGGCTGTCAGTACTTGGTAGTTACTGGAAGAATATATCAAGAATTCTAAAAACATAAAAGACCATTTTTTCCACATTCCAAGAGAGCCTAACCATGCATAGTTGACTCTTCAGTGGATTGATGGTATTCGGTATTCTCAATACAACCCGCCAAGCAGCCGAAGTACGCACAGGGCAGACAGATGACAGCTGATCGATCATTTATTTGAACGAGACCGCAGTGGAGAGTCAGAGTGCATGAAGGCCTCCCCGTGCAGACTATTATATGACAGCCGCATCAATTATCTTCTGCGACCAAAAGTGGTACACCGATAGTCTTTGAATGGAGTATTAGAACCATCGTAATATTGGTGTCATTTTGCCATCAGTCATATATTTAGGTAAGTGTATAACTCACGTGGATTCCATTCGATTCTCGTGGCTGAGTAAAGTACAACATGAATCATGGATAAAGTTCATAACTCCGTGCCTAAGGCTGTCCATGACGTATGGCCATCAATCAACCCGAGAGACTCGACATCCCGACAGCTCCGCAGCGGTGTTACCCACCATGATGAACCTGGCATTCGGGCGAAGTAATCTAGGAATATTGAGAAACCACCGGTGGGAGCCGCATTGTCTGCTTCGGCCAGCGAGCCCCGGCTAGCGAAATGCCCGGCTGACCGTGACACTTGGTGTTTTTGGATTCGACTGGATAGTTCTGTGCGGGTTACCCAGACTAGCTAGCAATAAGGTTAAGTTTTTTTTTCCGTGGCTAGTCTGCCACTGGAATCTTCTATTCTCTAAGGCACAGACCGCCATGAGGGTGTCCTATGTATGCCTATTACCTATCCCACAGACGATCATCTGCGAGAAAGTCAAGTGGTCACGACCGACGAAGCAGATTCGCTTCGTCCATCGGGACTATCGGGATCGGCGGGTGACGCAACAGACTGGTCCACCACACTGGAGTCCACTGATTCCACAGTCTACTGGGATTGTTTTCTTTTCTCTGTACCAGGTGTGTCCCTTGACCTGTGTAATGGGTCAGGCACCAGGAGAAAGATTCAGGAACCACAGGGATTCGATGGAGGACCGGATGGGAGGGGAAATGCAGTAGATTCTAGACCGAGTCTAAAGAAAAGAAGAAGGAGTAATGGAAAGAAGCAGTAATATATGTAAATGACCGGTAACGTTTATCGATAAGCCCCGGATTGTAAGGGCGATGGGAAGGCCGATCATACGCATCATACATCATCTCACACGCAAGTCGTCACGTCACCGGTGGCCATACATAGATCCATCCATACGTGCATCTTGGGTCATTCGCTCGTTTAAGTCCTTCTCGATAAGTCTCAATCACCGCATCATGATCAGCTTCGTCGGACCTGGATCCGTTCGGATCTCCCCATACTTAGACTTTCTTCCCTCTCCTTTCGCTTCTCTTCTCTTCTCTTCTTCCTTCTCTTCCGCATCTTCCGTATTTACCATATCTTCCTTCTCTCCCATCTCTTCCTTCTATATCTCACCTCTGCTGCATCTGCCCTCATCTGAAGATTTTCGCAACATTCATCTCAAACCACTTCGCTTATAGCTATATACTATCATATACTAGTCAACCATCTCTGATCGCCCCACTTTCGACCCAGACCGATTATCTGGAAAACGCCAGGACCCAATAGTCTTGCGGTACTATCAACTTCCTACATATATTGATATAGGAGGGGCATACTATTTAGCCACCTTCTTCACCTCAACACTCACCCTCTTTTTCTCTCAACTGTCATCTTTCATCTCGTCCTCATGGCAGCAACCTCAAATTCACACTCGATGGCTTCGTATCCATCTTATCCTCCTCCCCCATACAGCATGGGGCATCAGATGGAGAGTCACAACCCATACCAGCGATTCCTGTCGCCATCGCCATCTCGACGCACCCTTGCTCACCAGCGGTCCACGTCCCTTCCATCGCCCTACTTCGACGGGCAGCTCCAGTATTCGATGGAGCCCAGAAGGCGACGTGACCCGCCAAGCTACTACCAACAGCCCTCCCGCCGGGCTCCTCGTCACAGCAGACATCGACGGGCATTGACGAGCATCGACGTCATCGATCGTCTTGATGACGCGGGTGTCTTCCAGTACCATCATGAAGGACCCTACGATGCAGCATGCTCCGACAAGAACCGACACGGCAAGCTGAGTCCCGTCGACGCTTTGAAGGAATCCAACGCCGCGGCCCTCCGCGCCACGCCTCACGAGAAGATCCGCGACTGCATTGACAGCCACCGCCCACTCGACGGGGTGGCTTACTACCCTCCTGGCCACACGGACGACAACGGTCACTCGTACGACTACGAGGAAGGCCCCAATATGGTCAACGACTATGGCAACTTCATGCGCATTCCTTGTGCGGTAAGTCATTCGTCACTTGATGGTGTTAGACTGGTTTGCTGATTTTATGGGCAGAGATTCACCGATGAGGATTTTAAGAATGATCCTTTTTACAACACCCCGCTTCCGAAGCCGTTTGTCTCGATCCGAAAGGCGTTCCAGCGCCGTCGCAACCGCCGCGACACTGCCTAGGTTGGGTTGGTTGGGCCATGCTGTCCTGTAGTGGATGCGGTGCATCCCGGTCGGGCATGCATGGTCTGGGAAAAGGAATGGCGTTGGTGGAATTTGACTCGAATTTGTTTGATTATGATTTGATTATGACCAGATTATGATTATTCGGATTGATTTTGATTATTTTTTGGGAAGATACCATGGGGAACACGGAGGATGGTCTGAAATTGTCAATGGCTTTGGGGAGTTTGAGGGATAGGAGTTACCATGGATGTTTTATTATTATCTCATGTTGTTCATGCTCTTTGTCATGTTACTTCATGTTGTTGGGGTTTTTGTATCATCTTCGAGGAAATAATACTTCGAGGCAATCACCCATCAATGGATTGCTCGATCATTTCCTTGAGCATCAGGTCTTTATTGTAGTTGTAAACGAACCGACCGCATCTCTCGTCAGCAGTAGCATGTCAACCATCACGACCATATACTATATAGGGTATATCCTGCGATGGCACTGCATCCTGGTCAGCTATTAGCACTAGTGTCTTATATACCTCCATACTATGTAGTATTTCATGTAAGGCACAACTCGTACGACTCGGATGGGAACGATGGAATGGGTTCATCAGACCACTTGACCTACTCCCTGTCATTCTCATACTCCTGCCATGTCAATACTAACCCAAACAATAATTGCCAATCATCGGTCATCGGTTATTGAGAAAGTGTCAATAAGAAGAACAGTCTTGGCATCAGCCCAGGTGGATCCGCGGATCGAACGGTCTCTCACTAATCAGACCTGTGAATTCCGAACAAATAAGCAATAATCGATCGGGTTCTGCGCCACCTTGAAGGGACAGCTTGTCAACTTCAGTCATCTCCTCTTGACTCCGCTTTGTCAATTGTTATATTTGGAAGAAAACTAGAGTCGCTTTGTGATTTGAAGCATTAGCGGTTTTTATTTCCATTTTTGATTCTTATACATTGGTTTGATTCCGTTGGAATTGTTGGTCGATCGCGAATCGTCTATCTGTCTTGATCTTCTAGAGGCCCACTTCGAGTCCATGTGAAGGACGTCCCCTGCTACCTTCATACATAGTACTACACTTCTCATTCCATGCGCGATTGAATATACCCATTATCCATTTGTGCCTGTATTAGAATTCTTTCCCTTCGATCTGCAATCCGTCGAGGTAGCGCTGAAGATGCGCTCCGCGGTCAAAATCTTTTATCTGGCCGTGTGCGCCTTGTCTGGGCTTTCTCTGGCTGGAAGCTCTGACGACTCGTCTGATGTCAACAGTCATGACTCTTGCGCGGTGAGTTTTTGCTTAATTATTTCGATCTAGAAGGGCTTAAGTCCAATTACGTGAAATAGCGACATTGAAGACAGCAGCTAATTTCTCAGTTCGACCCCTCCGCCACCATCTCCGACGCCTGCGTCTCCTACGCCACAGTCGACACACTCAACGACCACGTCTACTCCCTCCTCCAAGGCCTCACCCAGGAAACCGATTTCTTTTCCTACTACCGCCTCAACCTCTTCAACAAAGAATGTCCCTTCTGGTCCGACGCCAACAGCATGTGTGGCAACATCGCATGCGCTGTGAACACCATCGACGACGAAGAGGATATTCCGCCCACGTGGCGCTCCGAGGAGCTCAGCAAGCTCGAGGGCCCCAAGGCGGGTCACCCGGGCCGCCGGCAACAGCGCGAACGGCCGCGCGATCGCCCGCTCCAGGGCATGCTGGGCGAAAATGTCGGCGAGAGCTGCGTGCTGGAGTATGATGACGAGTGTGATGAGCGGGATTACTGCGTGCCTGAGGACGAGGGGTCTAGCGGCAAGGGTGACTACGTCAGTCTGGTTGATAACCCCGAGCGTTTCACCGGGTACATGGGACAGGGCGCCCGCCAGGTCTGGGACGCTATCTACCGCGAGAACTGTTTCCTGAAGCCGACGGCTGAGATGGATCTGTCCCCCAACCCGGGCGCTTCGCAGCTGGGCGGCGGCGGTCTCCAAGGCGGCGGCCTCCAGGCCGTCAACGACTTCCGCAACGTCATCCAGCAGGAGATGAGGCGGCCCGATGGCCCCCCGCTCGACGACGAGTGCCTGGAGAAGCGGGTCTTTCACCGTGTCATCAGCGGGATGCACGCGTCCATCACGACGCATCTCTGCTGGGACTACTTCAACCAGACGACAGGCCAGTGGCACCCGAACCTCCAGTGTTTCAAGGACCGGCTACACGACCACCCCGAGCGCATCTCCAACCTCTACTTCAACTACGCGCTCGTCTCGCGCGCCGTGGCCAAGCTCCGCAAGCACCTCGAAACCTACACCTTCTGCAACAGCGACCCCGTCCAGAACGCCGAGACCCGCGACAAGGTCTCCCAACTGACGACCGTGCTCGCCGACCGCCCGCAGATCTTCGACGAGAACCTCATGTTCCAGGACCCCAGCGCCGCCGGCCTCAAGGAGGACTTCCGCAACCGCTTCCGCAACGTCAGCCGCCTGATGGACTGCGTCGGCTGCGACAAGTGTCGCCTGTGGGGCAAGCTCCAGGTCAACGGGTACGGCACCGCGCTCAAGGTCCTCTTCGAGTACGACGAGACCAAGAATGGCGAGAACCCGCCCCTGCGCCGCATCGAGCTGGTCGCGCTGGTCAACACGCTTGCCCGCATCTCGCACAGTCTCGCTGCCGTAAGGAGCTTCCAGCGCGCAATGGAGATCGGCGATGGCGGCGTGTTCGCCATGCCCGCCGGGTCGGCGTCGCCGCTCCGCGAACAGGGCGGTGGTAAACGGACGAGACGGCTGGTCAAGGACGGCGGGTCGACATTTTACTACGAGGAAGACGACGACGACTACGTCTATATGACGGAGAAGATGCCGTGGGAGCGGACGCCGCGTCGGGATACCGACACCGTTTGGGATGATGTCAAGGCTGAGTTTGCTGTGGTGTGGGACACGTACATGTACGTGTTGAAGTCGTGGTGGTATCTTCCGAAGACACTGTAAGTTTTCTTCTCTTCTACCATCCATCCACGATGGGATCGATGCTGACTAGACTAGATTCGAGCTCGGCGTTCTCGAGTTCAACCGGCTTTGGAACTACTGGCTGGGACTCCCCGTTCCCCCGCGCGCATGGCGAATCCAGAAACCTCGATCGTCGGATGAGGGTGTCCAAGATGAGCTATGAGTGCCTGATTGATTGATTGGATTGTACAGGGAGTTGCGGATGATACATGCTGTGTTTATGGCGTTAAAACCAGTTGCATTGACGGCGTTGGATTTCTTTACTTTTTATAATCTCTATAGTTCATTCACATCAGTTGCTCATTTATATTATCTCATTATTTATTAGTTGATATGATTTCCTCGGAATATAGTTATAGAATCTAGTCAGGAATAATCAACCGACAGATGAGCCTCGGTAAACAGGCACATGATATCCTCCTTACTGTCGGGCTCCACCGCCTCCGGCAATTCCCCCAAACTTCCCAATTTCCCCATTTCGGCTCATTCCATTTGCCTCTTTTCTCTCTTCTCTCTTCTTTCTTCTCTCCATCAGGTCTATTGGGACTTCTCCACCTTACCCCTCTCTTTCTCCTTCACTTCTCTATTCCTTTTCCCTCTTTTTCTCTTTCGTTCCCCCTCTGTCCCTTTCTACAAAACTACCCCAGATTTGACTCGGCTTTAAAAATCCCGACCGCTCGTGCAACTCCGATGCGAGTCTGATCCCAACGCCTTGCGCATCTCCATGGCGTCGGTTTCGCCACCTAAACCGTGGGAGAGAGCCGGTGCTGCTGCCGGAAGTATGTTCATAACCACTGTATGATACGGGATGTCGCTGACCGGTTGTTTAGGTCCCGCGTTGTCAAATTCATCTGGTTCTGCCACCTCTATACCCCCAGTCTCCACTACCTCGGCTCCGACCGCGACCGCGACCACCTCCCCCGTCGCCGGTCCCTCTCTCCCTGATCGTCCGGACACGTTGAATTCGGTCGTGAATCGCACAGCTTCGAACTACTCTCCTTACGGCGCCTCGCGTTTCGGAACCGGTATGGGGTCGACTCTGGGAACCAGTCCCTATGGTGGTTACGGTGGCATGGGCGGCTATTCGTCCCCGTACTCGCGCCTTGGATCTATGGGGTCCATGTACGGCGGTGGTTATGGGGGCTACGGAGGCGGTATGTATGGTGGGATGGGTGGCATGGGCGGCATGGGCGGCATGGGCGGCATGGGCGGCATGTATGGCGGCGGGATGCCTGGCGACCCGAACGATCCCAACAGCCTGACCAACTCGTTTGGTCAGAACACCCAGGCGACCTTCCAGATGATTGAGAGCATCGTTGGTGCGTTTGGTGGATTCGCGCAGATGCTGGAGAGTACCTACATGGCCACCCACAGCTCGTTTTTCGGTGGGTTTTTCTTTTCTTATATGGACTTCGTGGCTGGTGCTGATTAAAATACAGCGATGGTGTCGGTCGCAGAACAGTTCGGCAACCTCCGCAACACCCTAGGGTCCGCCTTGGGTATCTTCACGATCATCCGATGGTTTAGAACCCTGATCGCCAAGATTACCGGTCGCCCTCCCCCGGCAGATGCGACGGCCCTGACGCCGTCGGCCTTTGCGGCCTTTATGACCGGGCGGGCTTCCCCCGCGACCCTGCCGGACGGGTCCCCGGCCCCGCCCCGGCCCTCGAAGAAGCCGTTCTTCATGTTCCTCGTGGCCCTGTTCGGCCTCCCCTACCTGATGAGCAAGCTCATCAAGACTCTGGCGCGCTCGCAGGAAGAGCAGCGCCGGCAGCTGATGGGCCCCAACGGCGAGCCCCTCTCCCAGAACCAGGTCGACCCGTCCAAGCTGGACTTCTGCCGCGTCGTGTACGACTACACCCCGGAGTCGCAGGACAGCCAGGGCATCGACCTCGCCGTCAAGAAGGGCGAGATCGTGGCGGTCCTAAGCAAGTCCGACCCCATGGGCAACGCCTCGGAGTGGTGGCGCTGCCGTGCCCGCGACGGCCGCGTCGGCTACCTGCCGGGTCCCTACCTCGAGACCATCCAGCGCAAGCCGGCGGCCATCACGGCGGGCGAGGAGGCGCACGGGCCTGTCAACCCCGTCGCTGTGGCGGCGGAGACCGCCGATGCCAAGAAGCCCGAACTGCAGAGCAAGATGGGCGATATTTCGCCCCAGAGTTTCCAAAAGAGTGCATTTTACACATGATTGATTTTTCCTCATGCCATTTCATACCCCACCCCTTACCATCCCATACCCTACTTCATACCATACCCTACTTCATACCATGCCCACGAAAGTCATCACAATCGAATAACGTGATAAACCCGTTGATACCTGGGTGGCGATTATCATTTCCCCACCTTTCTTTTCTTCTTTTGTTATTACTTTTTCTTTTTTTCCTTTCTTTTGTTTGTCCAAAGGTTCTTGCACGTTTCAGCGGAAGTATTAGTTGATTGACTGCTCTTATCGGTTTTATTATTATGTGTATAGGGTATTACTATTACTGCATTTATCATTCTTTATCTCTAGGTTATTCATTCTAGGCCGTTGGCATTTATTACTGGACAGTGTTGTGGGTTGAGTGTAGTTGTAAATTGATCACAGGTCTATGATTGACTGGGTGATACCTATTGTTCTGGCTTTAATCGCCTGCGATTAATCGTATTGCTGTGTTTATACTGACCCTCTATTCCCAAGTATCTCCTGAAAGATAAATACCCTGATAAGTAGATAAATAGACGGAGTTCCCCTCTGTGAGTCTACACTACACAGCACTATACCCTGGCGATTCAGCGGTATAGTGTATGTAGTATAATCAATCTCACGAACAGGGATTCCCAAGTTGAATGCGCAACTGAATGAACGACACTTTCTACTACTATATTCAACATCTAGATTCAAACAAAACACGAGAGAGATAAAGATAAAAACAAGATAAGAGATCCAAATGTCTCATATCATATCATACCAAAACGCATATATATCAACTATGTATAAGAACGATAGATAGATTGATAGATGGACAGTGAATCGTCTATCAAACACCATGCTAAACAAACCACTAACTATATAAACCAATCAATGCAACATCTAGTTACAACCTCTCCAAAGGACGCCTGCTCTCCCCCCTAACCATAACCTGATCGATCACCTTGGCTACTGCCACGGCTTTTTCCTCCCCGAAGCGTCCGCTGACGATTTGTGCGCAGACCGGCATGTGTTTTACGAGGTTTATATCGTCTACCATCTATTAGTACCCACCCACCATTTGAAACACAGCAAAGAAAGAGATATAGAGAGAGGGGGGAGGGGGGAGGGACATACACTGCGCCTTATTGAACGCATCCGCATCATTCCTGGGCACATGGCTCTTCCAGCCCTCATCAGGCCTATCAAGAACCGGATCGGCAGCTCCCACAGGGATCGTCATCGCTGCGTAGTTGAGGAAGTTCCATATAGATGTATAGCCCAGCCACTGCTTGCTCTGCACCCATTGCTTGGGTTTATATCCTACCCAGGGGGTCACGGGCATTAGGAGGGCGTCGACGCCGCTTGCGGTCCATTTTGCGAGGAAGCGCTCTTGGAAGGTCCATTTTGTTGCCTCCAGCTGTTGATTCCGGGTCAGATTTATCTTTTTGGGTTGGGATTGGATAGTGGGGTGTAGGGGGGTACCTTTTCGCGCTCGGGCATGGTGAGCTCGTCTTGCTCCGTTCCGACGACCATCCCTTCAATGAGAGGCTCGTCGACGAGATCGCAGAGCGTACGGCAGTGTTTGCCGCCGTCGGCGAGGATGGCTTTGGACCAGAGGTTGGCGCCTTCGGTGTGCAGTGAGAGGTCCCATTCGATGACTTTTATTTCACCTAGTTAGCCGTGGTTGCTTACAATGTTGTTCTTCACGTGGGTTGGAAATACCTTCGTGTCCAGCATCTCTCAACTTCTGCACCAGCTCGCGCAACGCGCGAGTCACGGGCGGCTGGGGAAGTACCACCCCGTCGTCGTAGATGATTCCTAGCTTGAGTTTCCTGCCGCGGACGCTCGCTAGGTCCTTTCTCCATGGGATGGGGACGCATCCCGGGTCTAGATCCCATGGGTTTGACTCGAGCATTTTCTCCATGAAGTGCTCGACTGTGTCCAGGTTGCGGGCCATTGGGCCTGCTACTGGGGGGACCATGTAGTGTTGGTGCATGCTGTTGTTTGTCAGTTACCACTCGCTAGGTAATATATGGGGAGAAGGCTAACAAGGAACAGTTCCACGGGACACGCCCCGTAGACGGACAGATGGAATACAAACCCTGCAGATTGGCAGGGATGCGGATCGACCCGCCGATGTCTGTGCCGATGCCGACGACACTTCCTCCGACGCTGACCAGGGCGCCCTCGCCGCCGGAGCTGCCGCCGGAGATGAGCTGGTTGTTGAGGCCGTTGAGGGATTGGCCGAAGACGTGGTTGTAGGAGTCGGACATCTGTATTGTTCTTAGCAAGGTGGTACAGTGGCTGGTAACAGGATGTGAACGCACCATCAACGACTGCGGGATGTTCGTCTTGACATATAACACCGCGCCCATGGACTCGAGTAATCGCACGATAGAGCTAGATGACGCCGCTGGCTTACCGACCAGCCCTACCCATCCTGTTCGTCGTGAGCAATCCCATCTGATCATCGAGGGGAAATCCAGAGACCCACCAACAGTAGTATCAAACCCCTCAACATCAAACCGATCCTTAATCGAAACCGGCAACCCGTGCAGCGGACCCATCAACCGCCCCGTTCGCTGCAGATACGCATCGCGCTCCCGAGCCTGCGCCAGCGCACGGTCGAAGAGAATCTCCGTCAGACAGCCCGTCAGCTGCTGGGCGAGGGCAGCGCGCTTGCAAAAGGCGAGCGTCAGCTGTTCGGAGGTGATGTCACGGGTGGCTAGACGGGCGAGGAGGGGCCGGATCTCCGACACTTCTGTCCATTGCAGCTCTTGTGGGGTGAGGATGCCGCTGGTGCGGATGGTTTGGAGGGTGGTGTTGGTGTTGCGTGAGGCTTTTAGGGTTGCTGGGGAGAGACGCCAGGCGGGGGGAATGGCGGCTTGTTGGGCCTGGCGTCTTGTGGTGGCTGTCTGTTTCCAGTCCATTTTCAATACTATACTCGAAATCAATGTGTATTAGTCTGTTTATGTAGAGGGATGGGATATTCCGATCGATAGCGATATGTAATATCGATGCGGCGCGGGGAACCAGACTCAGAGCTTGTCCCTGGAAATCCCATCCATTAAATAGGACAACAACTCCTCTATCCACTATCAAACTACTCCAGAAAATCTACCCCAAATCCTCGTGGTATCAAAACCCAATCAACCGCCCCCACGGTCTATCGGCAATCTTCCTCTCCAGACCGAGATAGGCAAAGCGAAGGATCGAAGCGGGTGGGGAAGCGAGGGGGGATAGTGCTTCCTCCCCTCACCGTCGGATTTGGATTGCCGAAGGCGCAGAGCTGCCGACTTAGCCGTTCTTCATTCGTTCTGATCCAGTTGATCGTCTGGTGTCTGGATTGGTGTTTGTGGCCGAGAAGTCGGAGTATCTCCGCTGGGTTTGGGGTGTGGTGGGGAGAGTGCTTGTTTGTCTGTATGGACAATACTTAGGGGTTTCTGGGTTTGTTGACTAGTGTTGATTGGGTCATTGTGTGACGTGAATGGTTATAGCAGATTTGGAAGAAAGAAGTTGGATGGTCATTGTTCGGTCTCAATCAGGCCGTGTCTTTGTTGGGGAAGGATTTTAGCATGGACAATGGACACCCATGAAAGAGACGACAGATGATATACATCAATCAGTTGACAGAGAGAACAGATAAATATAGATGAACAGACACTCCCTCATCCCTCTCTCCCTACACCACCACCCACGAATAGATAAGATTGATACAATATACTAACCCAAACAAACTGACCCCAAATCCACCCAAAACCCAACATGTCCCCTCTTCCCACCTCCACCACTCCCACCATCCAATGGCACCACACAATCGACTCCCTCAACGTCACCCCAGACCTGACCATCGTCTACGGGCTGGACCTAGTGGCCGCGCTGGCAGCGCCAGAAGTCGCCCGCGACAAGGGCTGGTGGTACTTTGTCCCCATCGGCGCGAGAGTCTCCGGCGAGCTGGACCTGATCGCCACCATCATGCGCGCCATCTCCCGCGGCAGGGTGACGTCGACGTCGACCTTCTCGGATAGAGTGTCGGGCGGGGTGTGGTTCTATGTGGAGGTGCCGCGCGAGGTGAGGGCTCGGGGGGAGACTGCGACGGCGATTTGGGCGCTGGCGGATTTGCAGAGGCGGGAGAGGGAGTGTCATTTGAGGTATGATGCGCAGCTTAATGGGAGGGGGGAGCTAGGTAGGTAGGTAGGAATGGATTGTATTGTCTCTTTTTCTTTTGAGTGTCTTTTTCTAGGAGGTAGATAGAATGTAAGTCCGCTGGAGATCAATGTTGATGTAAAAGCTATATATGTACATTACACAGTCATCAACATGCTGGCGTTCTTGTACCAGCTCAACAGCGGGTTCTCTCCGCTCCGCGTCTCCGTGTCCTCGATGTACGCCCAGCGCCGCATAAAGTCCTCGTGGCTCGACACCTGTGTCAGCTTGCCCGTCACGGCCCGGTACATGTCTTCAATCACGTTGAAGTCTGTCGGGAAGAAGATATCGAAGTAGCCTTGCTGGACCTGTGGATTGTTAATAAGAAGATAGAGTCAGGGAGGAAGATAAGAGAAGGAAACGTACATATGGTGACGTGACTGGCACAGTCTGCCGCATGTATCGCGTCTGCACAACCGGTGCATTGATCCCCGGGATCGCGTCCGGCAGACTGCTGAAATCACTCGCCACCAGTCGGTGGCCCGGGAAATAAGTGTGGAGGATGTCGAAGAACTGCATCAACCGCGTCGGGATGTATTCCGGCTGCGTGTGCGGCTTGAGGAAGGGTAAGTGGGTGTTCACGCCCCGCAGGAACCGCGGCCCCAGCGGACTGGGGAACGGCCGGCGCGCCGCCGCCTGTCGCACGCGCAGGAACCGCGACGCAACCGGGTCCAGGTGCGCCATGTAGTAGCTGTGGAACTCGCCGTTGCCGTCGATCATCACGCCCCCCTGCTGCGGCAGCTGCGTCGCCCGGTCGTAGCGGATGGCGTCGTGCGCAAAGTTGTCGAACACCTCCAGTGCCAGGAAGAAGCACGGCGAGTGCACGTACGTGTCCCAGTCGAAGATCGACTTGTTAATGATCTCCACGTGGTCCAGGTGGCCCGCTGCGTACAGCGAATCCATCAAGTTCTTCATCTGGATGTCGGCGAGGGCCGACGAAATCTCGATGATGCGGAACTTGGTCCGCTGGTAGATCTCGTAGTCGGTGTCGCGGATGAAATCCAGGATGTTGATCATCATCGTGCCGTTGCCCGCGCCCATCTCGTAGATGATCAGGTCGTGGTACGGGTACAGCGTCAGCTTGTAATTCGACATGAGGTACCGCGCGATCGTCTCGCCGTAGTAGGGGCGGAAGAGCTCCGTCGGCGTATGCCACAGCTGCCGCGCATTGTCCGGCTGCAACTCGTCCAGCTTGTCCTCAAACTCGTGGTAGCGCTCGCCCAACATCCGGTGGAAGGCCGGTCCATCCTCGATCTCGTTGAAGACGAACGGGTCCCCGGGCGTGAAGATCGTCGCGTGTTTCGGAAAGTAACCGTAGTGGGGGTTATAAAGACTGTCTAAACCACTGATGCGTGAGCGATCTAGTCAATCCGACATGCATGCAGGATCCAAGCTTACCGTCAATGAAGTCCCGCGTCAGCATTCGGACCTGTCGGGGTCTCTCCCGCAGATGCCGCAGCTCCTTGGCCGTCACCATTGGATATTTGTGGAACTCCTCTCCAATATCCTTGGGATAATCCTGTCGCCGCACCCACTCGGTGGATTTGTCCGCCGATTTCCGCCTCATCTGATTCCATTTTGTGAGAAAGGGTCGACTTTGCTGCCGAGATGGGGTGGAGGGTCGGAATCGCCGCGTCGGCAGAGCAGACGGGGAGCGTAGGGATTGGCAAGCTGGATGACGGAACAGCTGCCGAAACAATTGATTTAGCACCGGAGAGTCCATGATTCCTCCAAGAGGAAGGGAGGTGGGGGGTGGGATATCGATAGACAGGGAGGAGAGGAGGAGAGAAGAATCGGGCTAGAGTTGAGAAAAGCGTCTCATGCCGCGCGGAGTTACTGTGGGTCCGAGCTTCTTCTTCCCGACATTCAATTCAATTCCAGCTTCTTCTTTTCCTCCACACTCCTCTGCACTTGAGCTCCTCTCGTCTACAATGTCGGATCATTCGCGCCTCTACATGGGCACAGCCTTTGTGGCTGGCGTCTGTCTCACCGTCCTGTGCAAAGATCTCTTCTATCCGGAGTTGGAGGATCGTCTGCGCGAGTACCGCGCTCGTCATCGTCCCGCACCGAGCTCGGATGATGAACCCCCACTGTCGGCACGGCCAGGTCCTCCGGCGATTGTCGATGGCGTTGAGGGCTGTATCGGGAATACGCCTCTGTTTCGCATCAAGTCCTTGTCTGATGTGACGGGGTGTGAGATTCTGGGGAAAGCCGAGGTATGGTTTGCGCCTCCGATATAGACTGGCCGCCAAATGGAGTCACGAATGACTAACTTGCTACAGTTCTTGAACGGCGCAGGACAAAGCTCTAAGGACCGAGTCGCGCTCAGTATGATTGAAATCGTACGCTTCATCCCTGGATTTCCTATTCCTAGATATATGCTGACCTCACCAGGCCGAAGAGCTGGGCATCTTAACCCCCCACTCGGGAGATACCATCTACGAAGGAACGTCGGGGTCTACGGGCATTTCACTGGCCACATTAGCCCGCGCCAAAGGCTACCTCGCCCATATGTAAGTCTCGGACGTAGCACTGTATAACCTCCCTGAAGGTGGACACATCTAACAAGACAGATGCATGCCCTCCGACCAAGCAATCGAAAAATCCGACCTACTCCTAAAACTAGGGGCCATCGTGGACCGCGTCCCCCCCGCTCCAATTGTGGAGAAGGACAACTTTGTCAATCGCGCACGATCTCTCGCCCGCGCCCACACGGCGTCCTCGGGGACAAACTCAGGTACCTCGACCCCGGACGTACCGGATCTACCTACTCCGTCCGACGGACGGGGTTTCTTCGCGGATCAGTTTGAGAACGAAGCGAACTGGCAAGCGCACTTCAACGGCACGGGTCCCGAGATCTACGCCCAGTGCGACGGGAAGCTGGACGCCTTCGTTGCGGGCGCCGGTACAGGCGGCACTATCTCTGGCGTGGCGCTCTTCTTGAAGCCGCGGATTCCGAAGCTGAGTGTTGTGCTGGCCGATCCGCAGGGTAGTGGGCTGTATAACCGAGTCCGCTACGGTGTTATGTTCGATCGCAAGGAGAAGGAGGGCACACGGCGTCGTCGACAGGTAGACACGATCGTCGAGGGGATCGGCATCAATCGCGTCACGGCGAATTTCGAGGCCGGAAAGGAGCTGGTTGACGATGCGGTCCGAGTGACGGACGCCCAGGCTCTGGCTATGGCCAGGTGGCTGGTGGAAAAGGATGGCTTATTCATTGGAAGCAGCAGCGCTGTGAACTGTATGTGATGGTGTTGCTATTCTGCTGATGCGACTAGCTAATCTCTTAACTCTAGGTTTTGCGGCTGTCAAGACCGCAATGAAGCTGGGCCCTGGCCATAGGATTGTGACTGTCTTGTCCGATTCTGGATCGAGGCATCTCTCCCGGTTCTGGGCTAAAGCTGGCAATGTCGGAGGTGCCGTTGATACAAAACTGGAAGACGTTCTGAACGCGGTAGACAGCTCATGATGTCCATCATCAGACAGTACACCGTGACCATGAGTACATGGGGAAGCTCCTCTTGCTTCCCGAGGGACTCTGGTGACGCCTTCAATGGGATGATGCATCCTCGCCAATTGGTCTGGGATTCCTCCGACCAGGCTGCTTCCCGCAAAGTATGGGTCCCGGCCTTCCATGCCAACTGACGAGCAGTGGAAGCGTGGAATAAAATGACCATCATACAACCGATTTGGACAATGGCAATAGCATTCAAACATATCCACAAGGTCTTATACAAGACCCCCGCGGATGGCTTGACCCAGCTTTAGGTGTGACGGATATCATAACCCAACGAGCATTGATTATTGAGTACCATCCCGTCCATCCTCTCCAACCCAAGCTCGCAATAATTCGAATTCAACCTCCGCAAACGGTCGTCCGGGGACACTCGCACGAATTGCATCCCATGTGAGACCCGGCTGGTTCTTAAGGCTATCGAGCTTCGCTTGCTCCGTTTTAGACCAAGGGGCAGACAACGGAAGGGGATTCATTAGACGATCCGTCCAGTGCGAACCGAACCATTTGCTGAGCAGGACCTCTTTCTTGTCCGGAATATGACTTCGGATTTCTTTCCACCGTTTCCCTTGGTTTTGTCGCATCGTGACGAGTAACTTGGCTTCTTCTGGTGTGATCTTGCGTCTCTGTATGGGGGTGGTAGGACTTTGGGCTGCTGGCGAGCGCCTGGAATCATCTCCTGTGACTGTGGAATTGTGTATCTTATCGTTGTTAGATGGTTCAATGGGTTCTGAATCGAGCGCAGTATTCGTAGACGCCGTGCGTACTGGCCGCGGCGTCTCAATTGAACTGTCCCGGTCTCCGTCTCCAGGCGATTGCGATTGCGATTGCGCGGTGTCGACATGTTCCTGATCCTCACCACGGGATTCCTCCTTCCGAAGAGACTGATCATCCACCCCGACTAAATCCTCAACCCTCCGACGCTTCCCCCGAATCGGAACCCCCTTCCTCGGCGTAGGCGAAGGCTCGTAATCCTCCTGCAACGGATCATCAGACTCGCTACCGTCAGGCGTCTTCGCAAAAGACCAGTCGCAGACAACAGGACTTGAGTGACGCTTCCGCTTCCGCTGGCTAGCCATGGTTGAAGGTTTCTTTTTCGTGCTACCTGCATTCCGCCTCTTCCCCGGCAGAGCCCAGAGTGAACCTGATCCTGGTGGAGACGCAGATCGAATAGTGTTGATGGGGGTGGGAGGTGGGCGCGGTTTGTGGGCGGGTGGTGTCCAGAGTCTCCTGCTGATTTCGGGGAAGTGCCATTTGGGGTCTGTTGCTGTTGCTGTCGTCCGAGCTGGCGCGCTCTGAGGTGGGAGGGGTGTTTCGGTCGAGGAGTTGTTGCCTTTTCCAGCGGCAGGTGGGTAGGCTGCGTCTCCGCCACGGTTGTTCTTGCCTTGCTCGTCCAAGAAGAAATGCACGCTTTCTTGATCGCCGTGGTTGTCCTCGACTTCAGAGTCCACATCATGGGTTTCCTTGTCTTCTGGGCGCTCCGACTGCCCATCAAGATTGTATGATCGATCCGTGTACGGCAGATGCGGTGGCCGTATCCCCTCATCCTCCCCTATCGCAAGATCCCCATCCCCACCAGTCTCCCCCTCCAAGGTATCTGGAACCTCAAAGACACCCGCAGAACCATCATCATCATCATCATAATCCTCACCCTCAACCCGTCCCTCCTCCCCCAGCTCCTCCTGATCAAACAACCAAAACCCACGCTCACCGGTATCACCCTCCCCATCCATCGTCGCAATATGCCCATTATTTACCAAGATCGACCCGGACTCAAGATCGATCTCATCCCCGACGTCCGTGAAGTCCTTTTCATACTTTTCGAATATCCCCTCGAAGATGGACTTTAGCCGTTGGTCGTTGTGGAAGCGCGCTTCTTGAAGGTTGACTTGGTGGGACTCGTCGGGGTCCTGCTGGTTGGTTTCGGAGGTTTCGTTATCGTCATCGTCATCGTAGTCGTTGGTAAGCTCTGTGAAGGAGAGATGGGGTCGCTTGGGTGGGAGGTCCATGGTGGTGCCTTTGGGGTTGATAGTGCGCGAGAGACGCTATTTCTGTGGTATAAGAGGGAATCAAGCAGATTTGAATATAGTACACATTATCTACTACCGAGATGTTAGAGAATAGTAGAGGGAGGTGGGAGACCGAGGGATTTATACAGATAGCAAAAAATCCATATGCGCGATGCGATCGATCAATTTTCGCACCGTGCACGCGAAAGAAAAACCAAAGTTAAAGAGTCGTCTATTGAACTCGCAAGCGAGGAATAAATAAATCAAAGCAAATCCCACATTCGCTCCAAATCATAAAGCCAAACAATGGAAGAAAAAGAGCGCACTTTCACGCGACAAGAAGACTCAGAAAAAGACCAATAAATCGAAGCTCCCGCGAGCATCGCGCCAAAAACACGCGCCGGCGCCACGGGTTCCCGCATGACGTCTCCCTTCCCGCGCCCGGAACTCATCCGTCTCTCTACTTTTCTCCAACACACCCTTTTCCCGTCACTACTTCTTCTTCCCACCATGCATAAAATACCATTGGAGATTGCCTGCGATCACCATGTACTGCCAAAAATGTCGGACGCCTTTGAAACTGGATGGCTCTTTGGAGTCGCTGAATCCGGCTGCGTTTGATCTGCTTATCGGTTCGTATCCCTTCCTATCGATGCGTTCTATCCTTGTAGTGTCATGGTTGTTAATGCTTTATTTCGCGTTACAGGATCTACAGGGAAAACGTTACCGGATCAGGGATCAGGCTTATCGTCCAGACCCTCTGCCTACCCCCGTGACAGACGAGAGCTCTACGACCGGGCATCCAAAAATGCTACGGCGCCGGTATACCGACGGTCGATCCCGGCACCGCGGTCGGCCAACCCGCCTCGGTTACGACACGGGGACAGCGGCAACATGTCTTTTGTGATGCTGACCGAGTCGCAAGTTGCGCCGCCGCCGCCGGCACCGCTGGTCGGGAACGACAACGGGCTGTTGCCCGCGCAGGGCGGCCCCGGGATTCCCAACGAAGAGGATGCGTCATTTTCCGACCAGGTTGAGCGCACCAGGCGTCTGTTTGAGATCATATCCGCCCGCTCGGATATCGATCACCCTGTGTGTGCGGAGTGCACGGAGATGCTCGTGGATGGGCTGCAGAAACACCTGGCGGATGCGACGAAGGAGCGGGATGCGTACGTGTCGTTTCTACGGAGCCTCAACTCGTCGGTACCGACGACCGAAGAGGTGGAGGCCGCTCAGAGATCCCTACAGGAGACGCTGGCAGCGGAAGAGGCGGCGTACGGGGAACTGGTCGACCTGGAGAAACAGAAGTCGTCGTTGGATGAGGAAATCGCTGCGCTGGAAGAAGAGTCGCGGCAGATGGACCAGGACGAGGAGAAATTCTGGCGCGACCGCAACGCATTCGCCCTGACGCTCTCTGAGTTCCAGAACGAACGGGATGCCCTGAACATGCGGTACGACCACGACTCCCGCCAGCTGGAGCGGTTACAACGGACCAACGTCTACAATGATGCGTTCTGCATCGGTCATGATGGCTTCTTCGGGACCATAAACGGGTTGCGACTGGGTCGGCTGGCCAACCCGTCCGTGGAGTGGCCTGAGATCAACGCCGCTTGGGGGCAGACGGCCCTGCTTCTGGCCACGATCGCGGACAAGCTGGGGTTCAAATTCCAGGGGTATCAGTTGAAGCCGCTGGGGTCGGTGTCGAGGATCGACAAAATCGAGTACCCTCGGCCCTCGCCCGCGCAATCGTCCCTGGGGATCGGGAATGCGGCTCCGTCAGGCCCGCCCAAGATCACGACATTCGACCTCTTCTCGTCCGGCGACCTACCTCTCAACATCCCCTGGCTTCACCGCCGGTTTGACTCAGGGATGGTGGCGTTTCTGGCATGCCTGCAGCAGCTAGGGGAATTTGTGGAGAAGACCTCAGCCCAAAGTCCCCCCGGGCGCCGAGGTCAGGCCACTGCTGCCACGACTCCGGGCTTGAGGCTGCCTTACGAGATCAAACGGGACAAGATTGGCGATGCCAGCATCAAGTTGGGCTTCAACCAGAACGACGAGGCGTGGACGCGAGCCTGCAAGTACACGCTGACCTGTTGCAAATTCCTTCTGGCGCATGCCAGCAATGTGGCCAGCGCTGGAACCAGCTCCAGCAATTCCGCCGCCGTCGCCGCAGCGGCCGTCGAGCAGGCCCGACTGGCGACGACTAGCCCATCTAAGAAATAAGGACATATCTGGTTTCACTCATGATCATAGGGGGATTCGTGAGTGGTGGGGGAGGGGGCAAAAGTAAATGGGTTTTGAAAGCGGTACAATACGGAATCGAGCCAGCGTGCAATCCACCAGGCGATCCACATTTCCCACGGTGGGCTTCAAAGCCTAGGTGTTTCAGCGGGAACTAGTTGGCGTTTAGCCCTGGTCCTCACAGTCACTAGTCATGCAGCGGATTCAAAAAAGAAAAGAAAAGAGAAAAAGAAGAAGAGAAGCTCAGGCCAATCAAGTTGGATCAAGTAGTGGCACTCAACGGCTGCCAGCGGTTCATATGTGATGGATACGAAACACACCTGGTGGAGATTTGATTCCCCATCGAACCACACCGCAGGTGGGATGGATGACCGAAATGGGTCGGTTGATCAGACAGACCTGAGATCGGCCTTGTGAAAGCGCAGAACAGTAAAGGAACCCGTGGCTGGTGACTTTTAACATATGATCAACACCACATTGGCAGTGGTGATAGCTGTACTACCGTCGAAGCTCGTGACGGTAAATCAACGGAGAGAAAGGATTATTATCATCTGAATAATGAACCCAACCCCTGTCAAGGCTGGTCGCGCCGGATTCCCCGGAAGGATTTGCACCATGATTCAGAGAGGCCAAGACGGGGATCGCAGATCGAGTATGGTATAGTAGTAGTACATTGACTCTGGCGTTGTGACTTCATTACTGAGTAACGCTCGTGACGGCGAGGAGAGCGGGAGATCGTCCCTTAGTCCGGTCGCGCGGCCTCACAGACGGTGCCTATCGGGTTGAAGCGCGTCATTTGCAGTCCTAATTCGATCATCGGTGGGAATGAAGAAAAAAA